TCTTTAGACCAGAAAAGAACAAGAAAGGAAGTAAGCATTGAACCCAGATCTGGAAATTTGAAAGGAAAAGCAAAAAAGAAGCTTCGGCTTCTAGTTTTGAAAAATTTGACAGAGTGAGTCATAGGCATTCATGTACAGAGATGTTATTGGTTTTCAGTGGCCCATTGGACTGTGCAGACTAGTTAAAGAGATGATTTGCAGGTAAGCCCAAGAAAAGAGGAAATGTTTGCTATGGGCATAAAACAGCTCCTCTGGCTCATAAAATCTTTGTCTGGCCCAATTAATAAATGATCGAGTGTACCCTTGGCAAGTTTGCAGATGACACCAAATGGAACAGGAGTGTTGATGTGCTCAAGGGTAGGAAGCTTCTGCAGAGGGATCTGGACATGGTAGATCGATGTGCCGTTGATGGTCAGCTATATGAGGTTTAACGAGGCCAAGTGCTGGGTCCTGCACTTGGGTCATGACAACCCCAAGCAATGCTCCAGGCTTGGGGAAGTGTGGCTGGAAAGCTGCCAGGCAGAGAAGGACCCAAGGTGCTGGTAGACCAGAATATGAGCCAGAAGTGTGGCCATGTGGTCAAAGTAGCCAACAGCATCCTGACCTTTATGTGTGTCCAGCAGAAGTAGGGAAGTGATTGTGCCCCTGGACTTGGCACTAGTGAGGCCACAGCTTGGCGACTGGCTTCAGTTTTGGGCACCATAGTTTAAGAAAGACATTGAGGTGCCGGAACAGGTACAAGAGGGGCAACAAAGCTGGTGAGAGGTCTGGGGCACATGTCTTATGAGAAGCAGTTGAGGGAACTGGGATTGTTTAGTCTGAAGAAGAGGAGACTGAGATTCTCTACAACTACCTGAAAGGAGGCTGTAGTGAGGTGGGAGTTGGTCTCTTCTCCCGAGTAACTCGTGATAGGATGAGAGGAAATGGGGTTAAGTTGCATGAGAGGAGGTTTAGATTGGATATTAGGAAGAATTCATTTCTTGCAAGAGCAGTAAGGTGTTGGAACAGACTGCCCAGGGAGGTGCTGAATTCATCATCCCTGGAGGTATTCAAAAACCGTGCATATGTGGCAGTCTGGGACATGGTTTAGTGGTCATGGTAGTGTTGGGTTGACAGGTGGACTTGCTCTTAGAGATCTTTTCTGACCTTAATGATTCCATGATTCTAGTGCTGCAAAGCTGCATTCCAGTTAGCAAAGCACCGCTGCGTTACCTGCAGAAATTCAGGCAGCTGACTTCTGAAGAAAGGCTGAAGGAAAGCTTGAGTATCATTTTAAAGGCAGCATGTAACAGCTCTTCTTCATAAGAAGAAATGTAAAACCTGAGCTGAATGGGGAGAAAATTGAAAAAAACTAACTTCCTTTAAAATGAGAAGCTAAACAGATTGTTACTGAGCTTAGCACATTGAGGCTGCCTTCAATCCGACACGCGACTGGTTTGGTGTCAAAAGGACATGCACACAAAAATCAAGGATAATGAATGCCCCGCCCTAAGTATCTTCTTTCTTACGAGGCAAACACTGTAACGGGAAGTGCCAGAGGCAGCCCCGCAGCCGCTCTGCCAGGGCCCCGTGAGCGGGCGGTTTGTGTGCAGTGTTTCAAAGGGGCCAGGTAAGCGCACGCAGCCCTTCAGGGCCACCGCAGCGGAGGGGGAAAACACACGTGGCACAAGCAAACGCTCAGTAGCGAGTCAGACAAAGCTGCTGGGAGAGTTTTTTCATCGTTTGACATCATATGAGTTTTATGGCTGACATCCAAGCCAAAGGAGGGCAGCGGCTGAAGGATGAGAAGTGCTCCCATATCAAATGACAAACAGGACCCCAGATGCGCTAGGCTTTTAAGGAAGGATTGTGCACTGTGAATACGGATACAAAGGCTCAGCTTGCCCATGCAACATTCAGACAGCATCCATGTTCACTTGGCAGAAACAAAGAATATTAAAAACACATTTCATCAGGAATATCACAGATAGGAGTCACAGTCTCATTGCGTTTCATATGGACCTACAAAACAAAACTGATAGAAACTCAATTGCAAATAAATGACCAACGTGGTCAAGTGAGTCTCTGATTGTCACACAAGACAAAGAGAGAGCTGATCATGCAAATTTAAAATATCTCTCATCCAGAACTAACAACTTCTTCAAAAGAAACTAAGCATTAAAACAAAGCATCTCTTGTTTGTTGCCACTGTGCTCAGAGCAGTGCCATGACTCCCAAAGTTTGCCCCTACCTAAATTGACATTTACGATACCTGGAAGACCCTGCTGCCCTCATTTAGAGACAAAGAGGAACTCCAAGCCTTCACTTATATGTTGAGATCAATGTACATATTCAAGGAAAATGGACAAACTCAGAAGCTCTAGGGAATCAAGCAGGAAAAACATATTTAAATAGATGAGGACAAAAAAAAAAAATCTACTGGGGGGAAAAAGAAATCTACTGAACATAACCACTTAGTGTTAGTAATTAAGGGAGAAAGGCAGAGAGCAATTTGCCAAGAGACGGGTAGAGGAAAGGATTTATTCCGGAGGTTAATTCATTCTATCTGCTGCTTATCAAGAACCTTTCGGAGTCCAGTTCTTCAAAGAAGTTACAAAGGAGGCATTTATCCAAATACTCACAAGCTTTTCCTACTGCCACCACACTATTGTTCATCATATCATTCATCTGCTCACTTCTAATAAATTTATGACTCGCTAATGTTAAATCCACTTTCTGCGCACGCCACTTCTCAGTTAAGATGGTGAGTGCCCAGGCAGGCACCCAGAGAGGCAGGTTAGAGGCTGCGGCCCCTCCACTCACCTCCCCACACAGCTCTTTGCCATCCCCTCCCCAGAAACAGGAGCCAGCAGGCACCTGCTGCCACTGGGGAATTCCAATCTCAATCAGACATACCATCATAAGGAAGGATCATAAGAGCAAGACAGGGAAGACACATCAAGGAATGAGGAAATCAAGTCAGCTACTGTTGTCATACCCATATCACAATGAAAAATCCACCAAACCTATCAACAACTAAACCAGGTAGTGGGATGGAGGACAGTGCCTTGATCCAAAGATGCATAAGGTCTGAAGGCTCAGAGACGTCAAACTGTGTAAGGCTTTCCTGTATGGGTGCTGTAGGCAGCCTCAGAAGCACAAAACTCTCAGTATGGGGGAAAAAGTCAAACTAAATCAACACAGCATTTATGGAAGAAAAAAAAGATGAATTAAGGAAATAAAAATATGAGCAGTTGCACATCAGAGGCAGGGTAAGAGATGGGCATCACACTCCTGATTACCTCTGTGAAAGGTGCCTTAACACTGTCAAGCCATGAGATCAGACACACTCAGTAAACACAAAGCTCTGCTGGGACTCAAGACAGCCTATATAGCGCAGTGAGACACCAAGGGTATTACTTGGGCAGCCCTGGGTTAAGTAGATCTGAAGAACGTGATACAAACCCAAAAGATACAAAAAAACCCCCAGTAACAAGGATGAAAGGCTTGTCAACACACAGGGGAAAAAAAATCAAGATAAAAAGCAGGCATTTAGGAGAGATCATAAAAATAATATATTTCTAGAAAGCTTCAAAAGATTTTATTTCTTTGTAAGAGGCAAACTCAAGCAGGTAAGGTGGAGTGCTTCAAAAGGCATGGGAAAAAGACTTCAGCATTCATACAATACTATGTTGTTTGTTTAACTCTCTGCATTGTTCATTAAACAATAACCAAATAGATCATTCCACTAAGCCTGAATTGCAAAATCTATCCAAGCTAAGAAGAAAATGGTAGGCTCAAACATGGATATTTCTTTCGCATCTAGGAAAATTGACTGTTATTGTGCACTGCTTTTTGTTAAAGGAATTAAAAAAAGAGTAATCTGATCCACTATTGTGAAGACAAAGATAAATATGACTATTTCTGGCTGTTCTCAGGAAAAACTTTGGGAACTGAAATACTTTATGAATAAATAAAATGGAAGTTTAGGAACTTTCTCTGATATTAGCCTACAAAAATACTCACTATAATTCAGTTTTTTATTTAGAGAATGTTATGCTCTCCAAAATACTATTAAAACTAAACTTCTAGTCACTAGATAATCTTTAAAATTACCATACACATAGAGAGCCCAAGGTGTTAATGATTTGACCCTCAGTGCTGTGCATTATGTCATACACAGTGGAGTTTCACTGAAATAAAAGATTACTCACCACTAGCAGGTATCCGAGTTGTTCACTGCTAGTCGAGACATTTAAATTGTGCTAAACTCTACACCGTAAAAATATTTAACATAAAAAATCTGGTTTCAGGTTGTCCCTGATGTAAAGTGATATACTCATTTTGAAGAGGAAATGGCACTTCTGTGGTCTACAGTTGGAGAGTAGTGATTTACCTCTGGTATATCACCCAGCCATTGCCCCCTCTATAGAGGAGACATCATGCCAAACTCCCACCTGGCGACAGGCTTGTCAGGCAAAGCCTGGATTCTCAAATAAACAAAACTCAATTCAGTATGACAGTGAAAACTTCACCCACGTATTTTGTTCTGAATCACGTGTGGAGATCACTGTCACAAACCCAAAAGGAACTGCAGCATTTGACCCACATCTGACACCCTTAATAGCAAATCCCATGTTTTATGGACTCTTTTGACTTACAGGCTTTTCAAAATACCTTAAACCCACACTGCAGTTTTTAAGGCAAATCTTTCTCTTTAAAGCAACTATTCTGCCGCAGTAAACCCGCCAACTTTTTAGCAGCGGATAGCAGGACTCAAAATGGAAACATCTGGTGTCACTTACGGACACATATTAAAAGAACAGATACTGGATTTCCCTGGAAAAATCAATGGATGCCCTTCTTCATCTGCAGATCAGGCTGCTCGTCAGGGCTCGGAGCGAGCCCGGCACAGGGATGTTGCATGCGCGGGTGCCAGCGGAGCCTGGGAGGCCAGCGTGGTGGGGCCCAGGGTGACCCCCGGGCTGAGGGCTGAGGCGGGGAGGATCCGTCTGCGGTACCTGAGCAGAAGCTGTTGCTGCTGACGGTCGTGCCGGAGCACCCGGAGGAACTGGGCGGGTTGAATTCCCGGCTCTCCTCCTCCGAAAAGGGCGACTCGGAAGCGGGAGACACCTTCTGCTGCGACCGCAGGACCAGGCGGGGGATGCGGCTGCGGGACGCCTCCTTCTCCACCTGCGTCT